CCTACGCATCTGTCCGTCTTCCATCATCCACCCATCGACCCGTCCAAGTCTCCATGGAAGAGGAGGGAGCAGTGGGAGGGATGGCCAGCCTCGGAGAGCAGCAGTTTGCGCCTCGGTGCTGGGCTGTCCGTGGAGACGTTCACACTGCCTGAGCCCCCTTCACTGCGCCGGGCCCTGTGCCAGGTCGTCAGGGACAGACACGCCAAACAGTGATCCTGCTTCACTTTCAGAGGGACACTCGGGGCCCCGGGGCCCTGGACGGTCCCTCACCCAGCCTGGTCGATGCAGGAGTGGACAGAGCATCGGGAAGGATTTCTGGAAGAAGCAGGGCCCAAGCTTATAACCCCAGTAGGTGTTAGCTAGCCCAGGGGAGTGGGGGCACCAGGATCTCCTCACAATTGGTTGCATTTGACCCCACACGCAGCCCAAGAACCCCCGGCATGAGTCTGAGCAGGCTGCACGACCACACTTCACCAGTGGATGCTGCCATCAGTCGGGGGACGCCAGCCTGAAAACACCCAAGCTTAGCCATGACCCGTTTTTCACATTCTAAGAGGGGTGTTGAGCGCACACAACAGAGCCCGGAGGCTGTGCATGCAGCCTTGGGGGGAGGGGGGGCTTTGTCTCATGCTCCTGCCTGCCCAGGTGTTGTGCTGTCTGCATGAAGGCCCCCCCCCGCCCCCGGGCCGGCCTTGCTCTGTGGCCTTGCCCAGGACTGGGGCTCCCTGAGGCAGCCTTAGCCAGGCTCACCCTGGGAGGACCTCGTGCACAGGCCTCTGCCGGCCATGGGTTCAGACACTGGAGCAGTCCTGTGCCATGTTCCCCGCTGCCATGTGCCGTGGGAGGGTGGTGGCCGCACGTGCCCGGTGGGAGGGGGTGCAGGTTCTGCGGGGTCAGAAGGCCCCACTGAGCCCCAGGGAACCGGGTACCTGTTGCTGGTGGGAAGAGCAAGTAGTAGGGGGTCCCGGGGGACAACCAGGCCTGGAGACACGTGAGGGGGCTTCCGGGGCCGAGCTGTAGGTTTACAGCCCTGACCTGGGACACTGAGGTCCAGGGGGAGAGGGGCATACCAGGCATGGGCACTCCTGTCTGCCCAGGGGCACTGCTGGGTCCCACCTCCTGGGCCCTTTCTTGGCAGGATCCTCCGGACTGGCCACCCACTCCCCTCACCCCCAGCAACCCCCGTCCCTGTGGCCTGATTGCCAAGTGGAACCACATGTTGCCTGTCTGGCCTCATGTGCTTGGCAGTCGGCCCGGGAGGTAGACACTTCCTCCTGGGATGTGCAGTGGATCTTGGGCTGGAGGGCCCTGTTGGGGGGGGGGTCAGGGAAGGATGGATATTTGGGGTGGTGTCTTGGGAGGGGGGGTCTTCATGGGCGAGTTGCTGCGGTTGCTGTTACTGCCAGAGAGCTCAGGACCCCAGGTTTTTCCTGGTACGCCCCAGTCTGAGAGTAGTGTCCCTGACCCCGTAGTCTGACGGCAGTGCCCTGTCATGCTGGTCTAAGGGGATTGTTCTCTCCCCCTTCTGGGAGCCGTGACCGGGCCCTGCCAGCTGGAGGGCAATGCCATGTTTGTACGTGCCCTCAGTCAGAAGGCGAAGTCCCAGCCCCAGCGGGGTGAGAGCGCGCTCTGGTGGCACGCCACCTGCAGAGGCCGATCGCTCCGGGCTCGTACGAGCCAGTTTTCACGGCAGGCAGCCGAACCAGCTGTGGTGTGTTACACCGTAGAAGCTGCAGACGCTCCCTCCCCAGGGAGCCCGTCTTTCTCTGTGGTGCCATTCTCCACTCTTCCTGTTAGTCTTCGGACTCGCCACACACCTCTCAGAACCGTCACCTTCTCGGTGAGGCCCTCGCTGGTGGCCCTGCCCTTTTCCTCTGCTCTTGTCTTGGTACATGTGGCCGCCGACCACGTGCCCGCCCCTCCTTCGTAGCTGCAGGAGAATGGGAATGTGTGTCTGTTGTGTTCACTGCCAGGACAGAGCCAGTTAGTAGGCACCCTGTAAGCACTGGGTAGGTGGGTGGACAGGTGGGTGGATGGATGGACGGGTGGATGGATGGACAGGTGGACGGATGGATGAGTGGACGGATGGATGAGTGGGCCGGTGGACAGGCAGATGGGCAGATGGTTGAGTGGATGGGTAGATGGATGGACAGGTAGACGGATGGACAGGTGGACGGATGGATGAGTGGACGATGGATGAGTGGGCCGGTGGACAGGCAGATGGGCAGATGGTTGAGTGGATGGGTGGACAGATGGACGGGTAGATGGATGGACAGGTGGACGGATGGACGAGTGGGTACACAGATGGGTAGGTGGACTTGAAGGCCCAGAGACTGATCTCATCTCTCCAAGCCCCAGCTGGAAGCAGAGATGTGCCATCCCTCACCCCACCCCGGCATAGCTGGCCAGCAACATTTCTGAGCAGCTAGGGAAGTAGGCGCGCTACAGGATAGCCAACCCCCAGCTTGGGCTGTTTGGGGTCCTGGCCTGGGGACAGAAGTAGGTGACCAGCCATCCTGTTGTGTCTGGGATTGGGGTGGTTCCCACGACTCAAGACTTAGTTTTACAGGATTTTCTGGGAAATGGGGCTTTCGGAGCCAAAACTGGTCCCCCGAGGAAGGGTGACAGACCCCAGCCTGCCCTTCCTGCAGGGTTCCACTGAGGAGTCAGGCTGAGGCATCCTTTCTGGGGCCCAGCTCAGAGAGGAGAGTGTGTGTGCAGTGTAATGTGGCACCCTCCCTCTTCCAGTTTCAGCTGTGTGTGGGTTGTAGTTTAGCCCCTCCATCCCCTCTCCTTTTACTGGGTAAACTTGCGCAGTGGACAGTCTTCACAACTGTACATGGCAGTCCTGCACGGGTCTTTTCCTGTCCCTGCAGTTTCTCTGGGTTTCGCTCCTGGGGCAGGGACCGTGCCCTGGGCTCAAGCTGAGCTGCTGTCCCCCAGCAGCGAGTGTGGGGCTTATGGGGGTGATTACTAATGACCAAAACCGTGGATCTGAACTGAGCCACAGCAGAGTCTCCCAGAGTGCCTGATGGCACATAGTTTGGGTTTCAAATTCAGGAAGCCTGGGGTGGGTCCTGAAAATGCAGATTTGTGTTCCTAACAAGTTCCCGGGTGCTGCTGATGCTGCTGGCCCAGGGACCCCACTTTGAGAAGCACTGGACTCTAACTCTTGGTTTCTTACAGAGGCTTCCCCCAGCAAGGCAGCAAGGAAGGTCCCCCAGGCCCCGGTTGTCTCCACTCTGGGAGAGGGCGGATGTGGGGTGCAGAGCAGTGTGAGCCTGCAGGTGACAACAGTGACACCTGGTGGCTTCTCGGTGCCGGCCCGGGGCACAGGAGACAGAACCACACCTCGCACACGCACGCACACACACGTGCACGCACGCCCCGCCACATGTGAGGGACTCAGTGGGCATCCCCATTGCAGAGGTAAGGAAGCTGAGACTCAGGGACAGTCAGAAGAGGCCACGCTGGTCAGCGCTCAGCTGAGCAGGACGGAGCATGGGAGGCAGGGGTCCCACAGGCCTGTGATGTGGGGGCTCGTGCCTGGAGTGGGGCCAGGATCCTGCCCTTGGCCTACCTCAGAGAAGGAGAGTGGTGCTGAGGCCTGGGCCTCCCTTGGGCCCTAGCACCTGGGGCCTTGGGCTGTGGCTTGTGGACACTGCTGGCCAACAACACAGGGCCCATGGCTTTTGGGGGCTGTAGCCCCATCTTGGGACCTGGGGTGGCCCTGGGGAGCAGGGGCTCTGAGGGGCTGCCTCGAGAGAGGCTTCTGGCTGAGCCTGCCGCGGGTGTGCAGGAGGAGGGGCTGAGGCCCTGAGGGTGTTTCCCCAGGACTCCGGAATATTCTAGATCATAGCCAGGGTGCCTTGCCGACCCACCCTGTCCTTTGGCCCAGTCAGGGTCTCCAGGCTAAAGGGTGCTCGAGACAGAACAGCTGGTGTGGAGGACTGGCTGTAGGCTCTGGACTCTGGCCAGGCCTCACTGACCCTGGTCGTGAGGCGGGTTCTGCACTTCGCTGCACTTGTGGGCACCACACTGAGCTAGGGGGCGAAGAGGAGGGCAGGACACACATGCCCCGTGGTGTCCCCACACTGGCCCACAGGGTGTTGGGCAGCACCAGGGAGAGGGGTCAGCAGCCACCTGGGTCTGCTCCAAGGAAGGCGCCAGGCACACAGACGGGGTGCCAATGGTCTGCGGGTACCCCACGCGCCAACAGAACGGGGCTGCGAGAACGCTCCAGAATAGGGAGGCTGGGGGGTCGGGAGGTGGTGGGTCCCCAGACAGTGAGTGGGGGAACCCAGGACACCTATAGGCCACGTGGTTGGGGTGGTGACTCCCTGGCTGCAGGAGGTCAGGGTCGGGGCTGACCTGCAGCTGCTGAAGTTATTTCCCAGTGAAAAGGAAAAGAGGAGCAGGAACTCTGGGTCCACTTAACCTTCTGGGCTTGGATTGGCCGTCTGTAAACTGGGCACAAGCGTCCGATCCGGGCTTCTGCGTGAAAAGCTGGAGACACTGGCCAACATCCTAGACGCGGTGCGGAGGCACAGAGAGGTCTAGCGGTGGCCCTAGGTCACACAGTGGGGAGTGGCCAGTCCACACCCAGCTGTGCAGACCTGGAACTGTGGTGGCGTGGGTGCTGCAAGGGTGGGTGAGCTGCCGCCGGCCTGCCGCGGAGGCCCAGTGTCCAGCTCCCTGGCGCAGTGAGGTGGCGGGGTGGCCCACCGGCTCCAGAAAACCAGGCCAGAGCTCAGAGTGGCATTATGCCATTGTGTGCCGTCTGCTCTTCTGGGTGTTTCTTCCCACTCCGAGTGGTAAATGGTTAGCTCTGCACAGCCTTGCCCCTGCTGCCCTCTCCCTGGGCTGTGGCCCGGGGCTCAGTGTGGGTGAGCAGGTCAGGGCAGGGGTGAGGAGCCTGACCCTGGCTGTGCCCTTGCCCTGCCCCCACAGGCAGAGGGCTTGGGTCCGTGTTTGCTGAGCCTGCCTCTCCCTGTCCCCAGATGAAGGTCACCGCATCCAGAGGGGGCGACCGCCACAGTGGGGATGACAGCCTCCACGAAGCCACCAGCTCCCGGACAAGCAGTTCTCGGGACCAGCTCAGTGACGTGAGTGCCCCGGCCGCTTGCTCAGCCAAACGCTCCTGGTCCCTCGGGTGCCCCCAGCTGGCCCCTCCCGCCTCCGGCAGACACTGCAGGCCATGTGCTTGGCACCTGAGAGTCTCACCGAGGGCTTTGCCTTTGCAATTAGCATTTTGCCTTCATTAAAACATGATTTTTCACTAATTAGGACTTCCCCGCTAGGAGGGGTTTAAATGAGGAACCTGGGTGAGGCCCCAGCAGGAGTCATGGGGAGGCCCTTGTCCAGCTGGGGGTCTGCCCTGGCCCACTGGTGCTGCTGGCTGGGCAGTGGGCAGGGAGGCGGGGCCGTGATGGGAACAGCGGTGGGCTTCTGGCCTGGTGGGCAGGCCTGCTGGGGCCGCTGGGAGCGAGGCCGTCCTGGTCTGGGGACAGTGTCCCAGAGGATAGGCCCCTGAGCCTCGGGCAGCGCACAGAGGACTGAACTTGGGATATGGCCAGCCGTAGGCGTGCTGGGCACCCTCCAGGGCCCCTGGGTCTCCCTGGTCACAGCCACTTGGAGGAGGGGGTAGCTGGGCACAAGGCGGACTAGGATGAAGACGGCTGTGAGGGGTCCCAGGAGGGGTCCCCGGAGGGGGTGCCGGGCCCCCGCGAGAGGCCTTTGTCTTCCTAGACCCCCAGCTGCGGAAGCAGGGAGGCGTGGGGCTGGGTTTCTGGAGGGAGTGAGCGTCTCTCATTATCATCTCAATAGGGGCCTGGGGGCGCGGCCTGTGGGGGGAGGCCAGGAGGAGGGCCTAATTGCCGGGCTGAGCTTGTTGCCACAAGATGGGAAAATAGGCTGGTAATTGTCTGGGCTGTGGGGCTGTCCTACTTCGGACTCTAATTGCCGGTGGGACGCGTGAGGACGGATTCTGAGCACATCAGGGACGGCCCTGAGGGCGCACGCTGGGGAGCAGTTACAGCACCCCGCCCGCCCCCACCAGCAGGGCTTACGGGTGGGGCCCCCCCGCCAGGGTGAGCCCTCGGATGTGGCCAGGGTCTGCCTGGGGAAGGGAGGGTCCCAGAGCCCTGGCCGAGGCTGGACGGGGTGCTGTGTGCAGAGCTGAGCAGTCCAGGCTGCAGTAGGGAGACCCCCCCCAACGCACACCACCCACCGTGGTCACCCACCGTCCTGGAGGAATCTGTCGCCAGACCTCCGTCCCCCCCCAGCACGCTCTGGACCCTGGTCTGCGGGTCCCGGATGAGCCCACACTGGCCCGCTGTGCACCTGCCCCTCACACCCTGAACCACCCCCACATCCAACCGCCCTGCGGCCCTCTCCTACGCCTTGTCCCCCGCCCTGCAGTGGAGGGCCCCTCCCCATGCAGCTGCCCGCAAAGCCCAGCTCCTCACTGGTTTCTCCCGGCACATCTGAAATGCCCACTCAAGCCCGAGAGTGCCCCGCCAAGTGCTGTTGGGTCTCCCTCAAGGGACCTCCCTGGGTGGCCACAGTGTGCCCTGCCATCTCACTTCCAGGTCCCCGAGGTTACCCATCCAGCTCCCCTTCCAGGAAGCCTGCCCCCCACCCCCGTACCCCCCCAGCGCTGTGACCCTGGGAGGCTGGAGGCTGCTGGGTGGTCAGTGGTAGGCCCACGGGTGCACAGAGGGGTGGGCCTGCCTCCCCTCCATTCTTGTGGCTGGTAGAACCATGTGTGAAAAGATGGGACCTGGCCCTTGCAAGGGGCCGAGATGTGCCCAAGGACTGAGCCCCTCACTGAGGGGACATGGTGACTGTGCCCGCCTCTCTGTTGGGTTGACTGCTGGGCTGAGCCACGTCTCTGGAGGAAGGTTCCAAACACGGGTCCTCAGGCACAGGCACAAGGCCGCTGGGGCTCTGGGACACTCTGCTGTGCCCTCCCCTGCGGCTTCTGTCATGCCCTGCCCCCCGCCCTGGGAGGGGCCCGTCAGCCATCAGCACCCAGGAACAGGGGCTCTGAAGGAGGCTCAGGTCCTGGGCCAAGGGGCGGTCCTCAGAGGAGGGGCCACCGTTGGGAGCCATGACCCTCCTCACTATGCTTCCTTCCCCACAGAGTTCTACGCAGGCCGTCTCGGGCAGAGGCTACTCGGTAAGTCTGCCGCCCCCTCCTCTGCTGGCTGGACCCAAGCATGCCCCACACCTCTGCAGCCCCCAGCCGTCCTGAATGCCTCCCCGGGGCCAGACACCTCAGGGTGCAGCGGGGCTGGGCAGGGGGCCAAAACTGGTGGGGATCGGGAGGGAGCGTCACACATGCTCAGGGTCTTGCCCTGGGAGAGACCAGCTGACCCTCATTCCCTGACTTCCTGAGGACTAGGGGTGGGGGAGACGCTCTGCCTCTGGGTCCTGCCAGGAGGCACTCGGAGTGAAGGGCCCCAGGCACCGAGCAGCCGCCCCCCAGGGACTTGACACTCCCACGCCATGCTCCATACTCAGCCTGGACAGGCATGAGGCCCCTGGGCCCGGGGGCAGGAGGTGGCTGGCTTGCCTGGGCCTGAGGAGTCCAGCTCTGTGGGGGCCACCTCCCTACCCTTACCTCCCGCCCCAGCCCCAACCCCAGCCCCTGTCCCGGCTTCCTGCCCCTCCCCCTGCCCCAGCCCCAGGGGAGCAGCCCCTACCCTTTCCTCAGGACTTCATTTCATTGCCCCTTAAGCATCAGGAGGGACGTTAATGACACCATAAAACCCAGAGCTACATAAAAGCCATTTCTGCAGATTTACAGCCTTTTTGGCCCATTGGAGGGCGGGGCCTGGGCCCCGCCCACCTCATCCCACCGCCGACCACCACAGCCCCTGATTTACTGCGAGCTCCACAGTGCCAGGCCTGCAGGGCTGCTTCTCTAACTCACATCGGCTTTTTATAGGGTGTGTGATAAACCCGCTGATTTTCTGTGTAGCAGGGACACCCTGCAGCCCTGGGCCTCCCCAGCCGCCCCGACCTCAGGGTCAGGTGGGTCAGGTGCCGTGTTTTCCAGTGTTGCACCTGGTGGGCTGTACACTTCTGGGTGGTGTGACGCCGGAGGGGTGTCTCCCTGGGGGAGCCCTGCCCTCCTCGGGTCCCCGGTCACAGCCATGGGTGGCGGCCCTGCACTGCCCCTTCCTCCCACCGCCCGGGCAGTCTCAGCATCTCAACCACTCGTGGATGGAGCCACACTCTGGCCAGGAGCTGTGCCAGCACTGGGCTCCAGCTGGGGACAGAGCAGGCAGACCTGCCAGTGTGGGAAGTGGCTGGCAATAACACGCTGTGTGATGCAGGTCAGGATCAGGGAGAGTGAGGGGCCAGGACCCCTACCAGTGGGTGAGGTAAGGGGTGAGGTAAGCCAGCCTGAGGGTCCCAGAGGGGCCAGGCTCAGGGATGCCCCATTTGGAGCCTCCTTCCATGTCTGAGAGCCCCTGGGCAGCTGGGGTGTCCCTGCCCCGAGCCTCCTTGCCAGAGCCACTGGGTAGCCCTTCTGCTTCCAAACTGCGTGTGTTATTCGTGGTCTTCTCCCCAAAGAGCTCCTTTGAATGTTTCCTGAAGAACCCATAATTAATGTGCCAGCTACTTGCAACTTAATCCCCCGTGGCCGCTTCACGGGAGTGACAGGTGGTGGCAAGGACAGGCCCAGCTTGCTGCTGGGGCCATGGGGGTTCCCATGTGTGCACACCAGGTGCTGGCATGAGCAGGTGTGTGTGCTGGTCCCTGGCATGAGCAGGTGTGTGTGCATTAGGCCCTGGCATGTGCAGGTGTGTGTGCTGGTCCCTGGCATGAGCAGGT